TCCAAAGCCCTCCTTTGCGTGACGCTAATCTGCGGTGATTGGTCCCATTGGTCTCATTTTCATTTCATCTTGCCATCAAGATAAAATGAAATTCATTTAATCTGCACTCACAAACGTTGCTTTATCAGGCATCACAGCCAGATAAAGCAGCATTTGTGAGCGCAGTGCTGCTTTGTGTACAGCGTTACCGGGGAAACCACTATTTTTACAGCTCCAAAAGCGGCGCCTAGTGGCAAAGAATGAATCTGCATTTTCATTCAGACCAATGTGAAAAGAACAACAAGTGGGCGGGCAATATGCTAATGTTTCATGTTGACGTCAACATGAAACGGCTTGGGATTCGTTTTAAAAACGACTAATTTCAATGATTCAGAGTCGACTCTTTCTTTTGAGAGACAATAACTTTATACACGGTGCACTTTCAGATTTAAAACTTTGCAGGATGTTTTCATTCACTTAGAGCTGTGTTTACACACTGCATGAAAGCTAATTTCCAAAAATCCATAATAGGGGGACTTTAATACCTACTTGATTTGCAAGCAGAAAATTGCATGAATAAAGTTTTAGGTCTCATTAGCCCAATAAGCAAGTCAAACAATATTTTAGGTATGATGAGATGTGTTGCTCAACTCTAAAAAGGTCTGTCCAAGCATCAGTAGCTCCATGACTGTGCTTGATATCTTGTAAACAGTATATAGTTATGATTGTATGGCTTCATGCGTTCACATTTTCTTACTTCTAAATGTTAAGATTTTTTCACATGTTTCTCACAAAAGGTGTCTTTTGAGCTTGAATGACATCAAAGTTTATACTGTAAGGCAATTTGTGCTGTATATGGTCTGTTTATACGTTGTGATCTCTGTGTTTTCCAGGCATAAGTTGGCTTTCTCTCAGAGTCGTGTGACAAGTTTTTTGTTTGATGGCAGCGGCTTTGCTTTAGTCAACAACATTGAGAGAAGAGGCAAAATTGGCATTGTCACTCGGTTTGATATCGAAGTTCGAACTGTTGCCAACAATGGCATTTTATTCCTCATGGTTAATGAGGTAAATATGGTTTCATTGTAAATGTTGTTCTTAAATTATTATGCACTGATTCTTGGACTCTGGGACAAAAATAGCAAAGTGAAAAAATAAATAAATAAATAAACCTTTATTGGATGTAACATGCAAAAAAATATTATTATAATTCCACATTCCAGATTATTCATGAATAATCTTTAGAAATCTAAAACTTAAAAAAAAAAAAACATTATCGATGCTGTGTTTATACCATACCCTCACTAACATTGGCACCCATTGTAAATATGACCAAAAAAAAGGACTGTTGTTGTCTTCTACCTGCAGATGTCCCGTAAGGTGTATTTCACGGGTGATGGCTATCTGGGCTCTACAGCTAAAATCTCACCATTCCAGTCTTTTGAAGGAGGACTAAACTTCAGAACACTACAGTCCAATGGACTCCTATTCTACCACAGAGATGGGGTACAGTCTTTTTTATTATCTTCTTAGTTTTACCATGTTTTACCCAGTCAAGTCTTGTTCTTTCTCTGACCTAAAAGAAAGTGAAGCCAACCCTAAACCAACCAACAAATGAAGGAGATCCAAGGTTTTGTTGCTTATGTCATTTGAAACATATGAAGTTACATATCTGTTTCAGTGGTTGCATCACATAGAGTACAACGCTTTTCCCCCATATGAACCTGCCGAGTCCCTGCTAGAGTAGAAACTGTTCTTGCTACTATATGATGAAAGGGGTTTGGGTGAATGTATGTTTGATAAAGAGGGTAATTTTTTCCCCCATGATGCTATAGATCAAGCCAGTCTTTCTCTGTTCTAGCTGGATGAGTTTTCTCTCTCAGTGGAGAATGGTGCTGTGGTGCTCCAGTCCAAAGGAACCAGAGTCAGATCACATAAGAAGAATTATAATGATGGACGATCTCATTTCTTAGTTGCCTCAGTCACCAATCAGAAGTAAGTTGCTGACTTTCTTCAACGATTTGCACACTTACTGACATATTGTGTCATCCCAGGACATCTTGTCCTGTATACTGTACATTTTCACTCGTTTTACAGCGTCAGCATTGTGGAAGTACTGGGGACGTCTTTTCAAACTTGAAAACAATAATTGTGTTGAATTCTAAATTACAATTGTGTTGTATTTATTTAGCTCCTAGTCATGTAGAGACTAGTTTTTGCAGAGCATTCTTCGGGATTACATGGTCTCAAGCATTTTTATGTTTTTTTTGACTACCGATATGTTTTTTTTTACAGTGGCCTTTTTGAAATGGCTTGTTCCGGTAATGGAATCCATTTCCCTTCTATGACACTTGACATGTATATTTCTTTTTTCTTTTCTTTTTTTTTTTTGCAAAGATTTGCAAAGTTATCACAATTCTGCTTTATTTTTGATTCTTTGTTATATTATGTGGTCTGAAGTATAACGTTTTTAACATAACCATAAGCGGCAACAGCCGTTCAGTTTACAGTTCAGTTCATGTCTTTGTCAATGTTCAGCCTCAGCAGGGAAATCTCCAACATACTGTTATATGAATGAGATTAATGGTCTTTGTCTTTCTATATTTTAGTTAGTACAGTTTGAATACCATGCAAGTGTTATTTCTCATCATATTTTTGTTGACAGTAGTTTTAATTAAAATTATTTATTTTTATGATGCATCACATCGTCACTATTGTTGGTCATTTTGTTGATCTCATATCAGCATTCCACACTTCCCTGATGAATACTTGTATTAGATGAAGTTCTGAATCTTTTGAATTGTCCTTATATGTATACACTTGTTACATCAACCAGTTTTTATTCATGATCTCTAGGTATGAACTTGTCATTGATGACAAAGACAAGCAGGATAAGAAGAAGCCGTCTTCCTCATCTCAGTCAGATAATGTTCCAAAGACTTTCTACTATGGAGGCTCTTCTACGAGTTCCATACAGAATTTTACTGGGTGCATCAGTTACGCATACATTAGCAGGTAACATATACAACCTACACTCAGCAAAGCCCTTTATGTACAATACTATATTGAACAGAGTTGACAAACAACTAATTGATCTAATCCCGATTCTGATAGCAATGACTGTGATTGTGTGATGTTTTTTTTTTTTTTTGACCTTCACTGAACACCATAACTAAATTTATTGAAGAGCTCTCTGCACCTTCATTATGGATTAAGATCTTTTTTTCTGCTGTCTGGCTGGTTGTTCAAGTATTGATGGTCATAAAATGTCCAGCCTTAAAGGTGCCAAAGAATGCATTGATACTCTCTGATATCTACGTAGAAGGTATGTGGATTAGGTAGGGGCAAGATACAGTTTTACATATCCATTTACAACCCTAGGATTTGTCCCTAGAATGAAATGGTCTGTTTTTACCTTATTTGGAAGGGTCATAAATAATAATGTTGAGCTCTGCTCTGATTGGCTGTCTCACAGTGCGGCTCATTTCAGTAGCTCACACAGCAGGAAGGAAACATAGGGAAAATATATATTTCAATACTGTCTCTCACAGTTATATCATTGGGTAATTATACTGTATATAAAATGCGGCATCAGGGAGCTGCTATATGCGGGGCATTGAAACTGCTTTTGAATGCACGATCGCTTTTTACTTTCACTTTCGAGATTTGCGATCGCACGTGTTCTGTGTAAACTACAGTGGCAGTACTTACCACACATTTTACAAGATCAGATGCTTGTCAGGGGTGCTCAAGTTCTGTAAATCATTCGCCATCATCCTCAGTCATCTCTCCTTACCCTGTTTATGTGGTAAGTGAAATCTTATGTACTGTAATGTAACAGGCTACCACTAGCAAGCAGCTAACCATGTCCCTTTAGTGACTCGCGCTATTTTATTAGAACTCGCGTTATTTGTTTTCTGTGCCTTTCTGAATACAGATACCAACCCATCCCTGCACATCACATCTCCTTCACAGCCTGGAACATAACATTTATTTCCATGATCTGCCATTTTCGCTATTATCCTCACTTGTTTCTTCACAATACCTGCAAAACTTCTGATGATTCAGCTGTGCAGGTTCGGCTGGCGGCTGGCATAGAACATGGGCGGGTATATGCAAATGTTGGGGGCGTAACTATTAGTGATCCTGACTGTAACGTCACAGTCAGTGTTATGTTCTGATTCGCCTATTTTTCAGTGGTCTTTTGCATGCATGAGATTTACATGAGAAGGAAGAAAGAATGGTGTTTGAGGCTCATGGTATGTCATTTCCATGTACAGAACTGTTATTATTCAACTATGCCAAGGAAAATACAGTTTTCCATTCTATGGCACCTTTAATGTTGTCTAAGTCCACCCAAAAATGAAAAATTTGCTGAAAATGTACTCACCCACAGGCCATGTAGATGTGTTTGTTTTTTCATATGAACAGATTTGTAAACATTTAGCATTATTTCACTAGCTCACCAATGGATCCTCTGCAGTGAATGGGTGCCGTCAGAATATGTCCAAACAGCTGATAAAAACATCACAATAATCCACACCACTCCAGCCCATCCAAGTTTTGTGAAGCGAAAAGCTGCATGTTTTTATGAAACAAATCCATCATTGAGCAAAATATAACTTCATAATCCATAATAACGCTTTCTCCAGTGAAAAAGTCCATCCCTTGTTTTCCTCTCATCAAAAGTCACTGGTGAAAGCAATATAATGGATAGAGGACTCTGAAGTACGGTGACGCACTGCTGCCGCACACATATTATTTTTTCCACTCAATTGTCGTTTTAACGACATCTTTTCTCGTAATAACTAGATGTTTTCTCGTTAAAACGACATCTTTTCTCGTAATAACGACATCTTTTCTCGTTAAAACAACATCTTTTCTCGTAATAACTACATATTTTCTTGTAATTACGACATCTTTTCTCGTTAAAACGACATCTTTTCTCGTAATAACGACATCTTTTCTCGTTAAAACAACAT